CTTTCAGTGGTGTTTTTTCAGGACATGGATTCTCCTTGACATCAACAGAGCTTGAGCTAAATTTGTCATTACAACAGTAACCTATTATGACCTCGGAATAGTTTAAAGATCAATACAGATATCCATCTTTGTTATTTATTTCCTTAATGATAACCATCGACTTTATCATTTCACAAAGGCGAGGTCTACAATCTAAAACACAAAAGTAAGCAATAACAACAAGAAAGAAATATCTACAGGTACAATAAATGTCTTAAGTCTTACAGGCATGCGGAAACTGGCATTAAAAAATATCTTTATCTTTTCCTGTAAGTGACGATCAGAGTAATTCAGGACAGGTTTATGGTAAATGTCACTAAAGGTTGTAATGTGATGTCATGATAATCTCGAGACAACAGGGAAGTCATATTTAAGTGAGACAGTGCAGTATAGAAAATAGAAGTAAATTTACATGGCGACAAACACTCATTCTCTTAAGGCGTTAGATGCAGTATGTTTGCACTGATATTTATATTTTAAAGAATTTAATTTGATATCTTTAATCTTTTTCTTAATTTAATAAAGAAGTTATTTTAGTGAGGACTAAATCAAAGATGTTACCTTAGATCAACTTTTGACAAAAAGATTTCACAGAATCGTCTCTATAATTTTAATCTTCACCAACATTTGTGAGGAGATAACTTTCTTTAGGTTCATGACTCCTCTCACATATGTCACATTGTTTTCACGTTGTCATTTGACTACATTGTTATTGTAAAAATATTGATTATAGCTGCTTCAAGTAGAGAGGTGTGGAACGTATAAATCTGATATTACTTTAAACAACATGAAATAAGTATAAGTATGGAAAGTGTCTTTATTATTTTAGGTTTATTTAGGCTTCAGTTAAAGGCAGACATCTATTTGTCTTCAATCAATAGCTTCATCAATGCTTTTTTCTTTATTGTTGACCAGCAACGCAATCATCTACTGTAAAGTGTCTAACTACAAGGGTCAGAAAGAGTTATACAGAATACAGTACATTGTGTCGAATCAGACTGCAAGTTCCTTTTTTACTTATTTCCTCTTTTCAAAACATTGACTGTGTCAGAACAAATGAGAGGAACAGAATGGAGTCTTTAAACTCGAGCTAATGTTTGGCCACAGTTCCCCTCCCCCATTAGTTAATTATAAGTAAAGATCAAACAACCTGTGAGTTTTCCTGCGGTTGATTTCACCTGCATTGAAGGGAAGCATTGTTTAACACACTTTTTCCCACTTTAATCCCTACTGAATCCCTTCATTTTTACACTTCCATTAATAATGCCAAATGTAAGGTTGAAGTGATTTTAATATGGATTAATTATTAATTATTATGGATAAGTGAATGGATTGTAATGTATTAAGGAATTGTTAATGGATCCACTTGATCATGAAAACCACCCTTTATACCTTCAAAGGCTTTCATTTTTCAGCTAAGGCCTTGAAAATGTAGGGGTAGCTTTCATGGTTTTTGGGCAGTTTTAATGGGTTTTTACCCCATAAAACTCCTTCAACCATGCAAACAATCCATTCATTTATCCATTAACTATTCCCATGTTTGGGGTGATCCCGTGGATTTGCTCCTGAAATTTAAAAAATAACACAACATTTGAGGCATAAATACCTCAGTACTGTTCAGAATACAATTATGTTCTCAGGGCTAAATTAAGGGATTCTTGTTTCGTACTGAATTGTGTTGTATCATGATTTGTTTACCTCTAGTCAACCATTTTTGTTCAACCCTTCAACCAGAACATAGATTTTTCTTTACTGTCATGTGCCACACAAGTGAATGAGTGATTAATGTTGGACCAGTTGACCAAAGAAATAATGTAATGAATGTAACTCTCAGGGTGGAAATGTTGCTTTTGTAATAATTTGATTGCTTATTTAGATTAATAAACTATTTTTTCAGTATCTTATTTGTAGAGTATATAACACTTTTGTGCATTGCACGTGCATATCCACACACCTCTCTGTGGCTTCTTGTCCTCTTGTGCATAGAAGGCACAGAGTCTGTTTCTACAATACCTTGTTTGTGTCTTTGTTTTCATATTTACAAAGTTTATGGTACTTCCATAAATACAGTGGACATGCAAAGAATGGCACAGTAGATTGTGAGTGTGGGTTATTTACAATGCAAACAGTGAATCATAAATGACGGGGAAGAGTCCAGAGAGACAGAGAGATGAGTCCATCTTCAGTGAAAATGTACTACTTAGTTTCAGAGGGGGGAGGGGTGGTGTAGGTAAATAGTATGCAAAATTAAATCCATTTCCAGAAAATGACACTGCATTTCATTTACAGCCATTCAAAGTTCATTGTGGCTACATATGTTGCTGTGCCAACCTAATGTCATCACAGTCATATAATGTAACAGCGCTCCAAAGTACAGGTGGCGTCTGAATGAACAAAAGCCATAAATCATGGTATTCTTCAATGTCTTAACAGTTAAAAGATCTTAAAATGCTAAATTTTTTCTCCCACAAGCCTCTTAGAGTTTTCACACATCAATGTTTACTGTTTTGCCTATAAAAAGCCTTTCACCAGAAAAGCCCCACCTGTTTGGACAGTATTTATTACGGGTCTTAGTGAGTGACAGCTGGGAGGGAGATGAGTCATAAGTGATACTCATCATTACTGAAAGACAACATTATAATGGGTCAGTTTCTTAGGTGTGCTTCATGTTCTAGTTTACAGTAAATCTCTTATGTAATAGGACTCAAATGTCGCATTCCTGAGGCTAAATAATGTCACACTCAGTTTAATGATCAACGTAGGAAGTAGGGAAGAGTAGGAAAGTGAGATTCAAGCAAGAGATCCTACACAGATGATTTATTATTATATCAACAGGCCTGAGGCACACGTGATGAGAAGCCATTGTGGTAAAAACCAATTCATCAACCATATTGTACATCTTACTTTAAAAGAGACAGGAAGTACAAGCAATGACAAACTCCTGTTAGACAACGCCATCTAGTGTTTCATGCAATACTCTGACAAAACTGTCCAGAACAAACACAACCGTTTCTATTTGTGTTGCCGCTGTTTTTTTCTGATTTACACTAATCCATATTTATAGAATAAAAAAACACTGTCACACCTATAAACCGTTATGACAAATTTCCTGTCATGATTTTGGGAAACTTCCTTTGCTTAATTGCATTGATTTCATCATCAAGTAAAGTCCGGTGTTAAACAAGGCTGTGAAATTTGGGAGTGGCTGAAATTAATAATGCTTTAGCAATATATTTAGGGGATAAATTCCTGTCTCTAACTGACAGTCGTATAAAAAGGAGGTACTGTAGATTTTGTTTGAACACACATTGAGAGACATGATACCAAACTGGAAGAATCTTTACGGTGTTTTACTGGTGGCACTGATGGGTAAGAGGACTTAATTTACTCACTGCTGATTTTTACATGGACTGTTACTCCAGGGACTGAATTAAAAACCTTATTGTTGAACAATTTGATGGTTTTGTGCTAATTTCATGCGATACCAATCTGTATATGCTCTTCATGTACCCTACTGATTGTAACTAAGCTGACAATACACAACACACATATGACAGTGACACAAATAAATATAAACACACTGACATTAGTTCTGCAGTTACAAAAGATAACAGAAAAACAAAATTTCCCAACACATTGGTGTAATACAAATGCATTAGTACTCAGACAGAGACACAGAGATCTTTTATTTTCTCCCAACAATCCTCTATACATAAACTAGAATGGATCACATGGCCAAACAAATTTGCCATTTCTCATCTAACCTGTAATTTTTTTTCCTAATTTGTCTCTTCTTTTGTTAGTAAGTTAAATAATGATGAGATGATTTGCTTATCTTTAATTAAAATGTGTTTAAAATTTACAGGATTTTTATTTTTCAGGGTCAAAGAACAGAAATATGACTTCACTAGGCCACAGAAAAAAATGTAACAGCAGCTTAGAGCTTGCCAAGAAAACACAATAGAAAACAGTCTAAGTACAAGACCCGATTGACCTGGGCAGGCATTGATGACCCAGCCAGAGTAAGAACCTATAATAAATGATGTGTCAGTAGAATGAAATTGAAGGTTGAAGAGATGGGAAAACTAAATCGTACATCACACATTGTCTGATACAGACATACTGACTCCTCCTCTCTCTCAGGTGCACCAGGTTTGGAGGCCTTGGAGCAGATTTCCTGGACCGGTGAGGTGACAGCTGGTTTCACTACCACTTTCACCTGTTCCTCTTCTTGCTTCCCAAACTGCATCTACACCTGGTCCTTTATGGGCCGCACGGCCAACGGGAGCGCAATAAGCTGGACACCAGATGGACGGGACAATACAGTGGAATTACAGTGCAATGTGCTCAATCCAGAAACAGGAGTCTCCAGGAGTATAACCTCCATTGTAGAAATTAAGAGTAAGTCCAGCAGATTATTTGCCGTACCAGTTGTACAGTAGGGGAGAGTAATTCAGTAAAATGTTGAGGTACTTGTACTTTAATTCTGTATATCCATTTAATGCTACTTTATACTTCTACTCCACAACATTTTTTGACAGCCGTGACACTTTTCAGGTTAAGATTTTAGATAAAACAACTTATGGATAAACTTTATAATTAAACTGTTGGTTCCCCTCCCTTTTGGTTTGTGACCCCTACAAAAAATAGTTGATCCATGTAAGTTGAGGTGTTGAGCTTCCATCAAAGAGGGATCCACCCTCTAAACCTCTCAGATGGTTTCATTTAACGAACTGTTAAAGGCCCAAAGAAGAAGTAAAATTATCCAATATTTCACATCATTAGCAAAGATTCGGTTCAAAAAATCAATGCAGATTTTTTTGTTTGTTCTTCTCACTCTCACTAGACTAAAATACATAACTAGCTCCACTTGTGCATTGATGCATCATTATTAACAATCTAATATTATGTATATTATAATATAATATGTATCACTGGGGACAAGTTTTACATTTTGCTTACTCTTCTGTATTTTTACTTTGGTTAAAGGATCTGAATATGTCTTCCACAACTGCTGCTTTGTCAAATATCAACTGAATTTATTATTATGTCCATTAAATGAGTTTGAGACGTGTGTGTTTCTTCTTTGCTTCATGATTGTGAAATAATCTCTATCTGGCGTCCTTTGTTGCAGATCGAGTGTCTGTTCAAATCAGTCCACCAAACACTGTCCCATCTCTCAACCAGTCACTGGATCTCGTCTGCCATGATGCTTCATCACCCTCAAGCCAGGGGAACCAGGTGGTCTGGTACAAAGATGGACAGAAAGTGACCCTGCGTGACAATATGCAGCTGCTGCAAAACACTTTACTCCACTTTGACTCACTGCTGCCCTCTGATGCTGGATTCTACCAGTGTGAGGCTTATGTGCCTACGGTGCATCAGACAAAGGTTTTCAGCCTGGGCTTTCTACTCAGCTGTAAGTATTCATAAAGTGAAGAATTTAAGTTTAAGGCAGAAAAGTTTATATTCACATACTGGAGTGAACTTTCTCATTTTTTTCTCTTCTGTAGTTGATCCATGGAACGTCAGCATCAGCGGACCTGATGCGGTGTTTCCAGGCAGATTGAGTAAATTCACCTGCTTGACGAGCTGTACCTTAAATGTGGACTGTACAGTCAAATGGCAGTTCAGGGGAGGCTTTCCCATTGGAACCTACTTTTCAGTCCATGAAAATGAGCTCAAGTGGACCCCTTCTATACCCGGTACTTTCCAAAACTTCACCTGTGTTGCAGAAAATGCAGCTGTTGGACGCTCTGCTGAGGCCACTAAGATGGTAGAAGTTAAAGGTAGTGACAGCTCTTGAGTATTTGCTCCTGTGTCTACTATCGCATCAGTGTCAAAATACATGTTAAATCCAGTCTATTTACTTTATTTGTACTGTTTGTCATCTTCTCCTAGGTATTCCTCTCTCTGGGTCAGAGGTGATGCAGCTCAATGGACTTATTGCAGTGGTCCTCAGTCTGGGACTACTGGTGCTTTTTAATTCATAGAGCTGTTTATTTGTTTTACTTATTAAGCTTAAATGAGTGTATTTACCCTTTTGGAAATATATTTCCTGGCCTTTTATTTTTTATCTTTATCACATGTGAAAGGAACATACAGACAGTAGAATAACAGACACTGTGTAAAAAAAAAAGACTCAAAGTATAAAAGTAAAAGAGGTTTCTCTGAAAGACATTTCTACCGGCTACTTCTGTGCAAAGCTAACTGAAACTAAAACAGAGTTTCCCTCTCTTGTCTATTTCGTTTTTTACATATGTTTTGTCATGTTATATGATGTATTGATATATTGATGATAGAAAAAGGGGTGTAATGATGCAAAATAAAAATAAAAATATGTTTATGAAGCCAGGGGAATTGACAGAATCCCATTTTGCTGGGATTACTTCTTTAGTTTTCCCCAGTATTTTCTGCCTTGTAGTCCATATAAAACCCAAATTACAGAATTCCAGTCGAAATACTTAAAACAAAAAAAGGTAAATATACTACAAATTCTATTAGAATACACCATGGTGAAAATACAGTGAAAGTACACTAACAATATAGCACAGATATTAAAGAATGTTAAAAGTAATATACAGAACACAACATAATGTATGTTAGCATACACTATGTAGTATTTGTATGTTTTTGGTAAGACCCTAAAATTAGTTAAAAGGTACAAAATATAACAAACAAAAAGTCTCACTTCTGGCTGAAGTAAACATGAGAAGCAAAAATAAAAATCCATATTTTATATATATTTTTATTTTTGATTTTATATTTATTGTCAGTGAATAATTCTGTATTATTAAAGTATAATCCAATGAGTGTGTCTGATCTGTTTGTTAATAATGGTGCTTTATTCTTGGTCTTTCCTCCTCCTCCTTTACAAAACTTAGGATCATGAGATGTTGACTTGTCCTGGATGTGTTACTGATTCACTGAAAACAGCTTTGTGACGTCACCTTCTAGAAAGGAGCTGACTCATTTATACTGATGTGTTTTTTAAATCCCCTCTGGTTAGTGACATGCCAAGGGCTCTCTTAACCCCCTGAAACTGAACAAATAAGACAGATAAGAGAATGACACAGAGAAAACAGATGAGGGAGACAGAGGCCTCTGGTGTGTCTTGCTTTCATGTGACGCAACAATATAATCTGTCCTCTTTTGTTCTTTTCTCTTTTTTTCTGTATGTTATCTCACCTGTCTCATACATTTGCATTGCGGTTAAGTTGGAATGGGGAAGCAAAACTAGAAAAATAGTTAAAACTATACTGTTTATTTTAAACAAAACAAAAAAGGTTTGCCATTCCACACCAGAGTCAACTTCTTCATTTACATTTCAGCTGAAACACCTGCATATATCTCTATATATATCTTTTGTTGTTTTTGTAGTAAATTTTACTATATTAGTTATTTGGTGATGTAAGAAATACTCTGAGCTTTTATTTAAGTAGAAGTATCAATACAGGGTAAAGATACAGGCATCAACATATACTTAAAGTACTAAAGGTACAATTATTTATACAATTTCGAAATAGGCTATATTAATTTTTTGGATTCTTATTATTAGTTCATTAATGCACTTAATAATCTTAATGTTGCAGATGGCTACTTTATATACTGCTTGGTAGCTTGACATTTTCCCCCAGAATCAAGGATGTCTTATCTGAACCTATAATAATACTTATATTTTATTTGTTGATTATATTTTGTGGTATAAATCCAAATGTGCAAAGAAGCTAACTCACTCAAGTTATAAAATACACGTAGTAGAAAACAAAAGCACATTTTTTGTTACTTAAATTTAGTGTATAAATACACTATATAAATGTAAATATAAATATATGTATAAATACAGAAACAGAAAATTGAAATACTCAAAAAAGTACCTCAGAAGTGATGAAGTCCTGATTACCCTACTATTTCATGCCAGTACGGCTGCTGTCACAAACCAGGCAAATTATTTATTTAAGAAAAGAATGAAACTAAGAAGATAACTTAAACCGACAATAGCATGTGAAAATCAGTGGGGTCAGCGGTGTAGGTGAGTGGATGAGTGGAGAAGTGTGTGAGTGCAGTGTTGTATGGTGCAGCAACACAATCTAAAAAGTAAATGTCATTAATTTACTTCACAGTCTAAGTAAATATCTCTACTGTATTTCTTTTTTCCTTTTTATGACATAGCATGACATGATTAATAATAATGGAAAACATGTGTCAGTACTAAGTACTCTCTGGTTACCCCACAGCATTCATCATAAACAGTAAACCATCGAGAGGGAGTTTGGTGGCCCCTGTTGATGGAGACAAATTATGACAAATGAGTCGAGGAAAATTAGTGAAAAACAAAAACAAAACTGCTTTTGCTTTACTTTTCTTGTCTCTTCAGTTTGGCAATGCTGTTTTCTTTCCAAAGAGAGTCGCTGTGCTTTCAGTTACATGAGAAGTAAAAAGTTCACACTTCCAAGTTTGCGATGAGACATAATCTGACCTGAAATCATTAATGCATCAGTAAAAAACTCTCTGGTCAGGGTGTTGGATTACAAAGACCAGGACACAGAGCTTAGAGCCTTAGACCCTTAGAGCTTAGGCCAGAGGATATTGTTTTCATAAAACCATTTCTATTCCTAAGAAGCCTCACAATATATTTGCATCCATATTTGCAACAGGATTTACATTTATTCAAAACACAATACATCAGAGTTATAACAGACAGTGGGAGCCCTGTAGCTCAGCTGGTCGAGCGTGAACCCCATGTACTAAAGCTGAGGCCTTACCACAGCAGCCCAGGTTCGATTTGAGTCTGTGGCCTTTTGCTGCACGTCACACCCTCTCTCCTTTTTCTCTCTTCGCTTCAGCTGTCCCTATAAAAAAAACTGTGGTACTTATTTACTTAATATATCTTGTTCTAATATCTAATATGTATAACATGTTGAGTGCAGTACTTTTATTTGTATTTTTACACTGTGACTTTCAGCAATGTTTATAACACTGCTAAGTAGACAACACAAAGGGTCAAAGTGAAAACTGTCGCATTTCTTTGTAGTTATTATATATATTCTCTAAGTATTAGAATCAAAACTATACTATTTAAGTACAATGAGGCTTGATAAATCCTTAAATTCAATAATTAAAAGGTACATTTTCAGAGTCTAGAATATCTGTCTTCTAATGCTGGTACTCCTACTCACCCTCATGCTATACAAATAACAATCAATCTTACCTCCTCTGTGTCAGACAAAACACAGGTGTGCTCCTGAACTTTGCACCACCACCACTCAAACAATGCCACAGGTGTTTACCGAGTGGTTTTAAGTGGAAAGGTATAATGGTTTGCCTTCTCAATATATAATGTTAGAAATGACAGTATTTCTTTCTTCGGTCGGAAACAGATGAGAGGTACAGTGATTGAATTGTGAAAATGCGAATGTATATGCCGGTCTGTCATATTTCGTTATGTGTTTTGCACCAGTGAAACTAGACTTGTCATTGGTGGCTGGGTCACTTCTTGTAAGACTGAGTACACAAAACAGAACAGATAGACATTCTCAGTAAACATGTGATACACAAAGCTGCTGCAGGTGCAGGTGTATTCATTTTGAGTATAAAGTTACTGGAAATATGTGGAGTGGAGTCGATAGGAAATCTTTCTCTTTGACACACACACACAGAAAAAAAAAACAGAGCCGAAGGTGTCACATGAGTACACCGAAACTCTCAACAGTAGGGGTGGAAAGACAAAAAAATCCCCAATATAATTTCCCTTACCCAATAAGTAAAAAAGGGCCAGAGTAGGTATAGAAAGGACACTGACGGGAAAAAAACTGCATAAACCTCCCAAACAATTTGTATAATTTGTTGTGATTCCTAAAACACTGGACAAATAACACCACACACAACCCCCCTACCCCCCAGTCCTGCCTCACATACCATCTGTCATAATTTGTCATTTTGCTCATTGGTCATTTACAGAACTTCACCCAAGATGGCAAACGAAAAATGTAATGCACCTTTTGTAAGTTTGACAAGAGTGAACACAAAATAACTGGAAACACCTGCAGATAAGAGCTGGGGTTCCTACTGTAGGTATTTATGGGTAGGGGGTTGGACATTTGCGGACATATAATAGAGGTTGAAATAGTGAGGACATCCTCAGACCATTGATACAAAATGGATAAGAAAAGAGAAGGAACCTTGGCTATTGTATTGCTGGCTTTAATTCAAGGTAGGCTTTGTTATAACTGATTTTGTGAATATGATATAGTTATACGAGTAAAAATGTAAGCATAAAGGTCTTTTGTGACTTTAGTAAATAACATGTGTTGCTCTCTTTCTCAGGTGTTCTGGCCTCTGGTGCTGTGGAGGTCCAGCCCTCCATCAACCCTGCTGTTGTCGGGAGTACAGTGACGCTGTCTCTTTCTCCTTCTGCGACTCTGAATAGTGGGAGCTGGGCAGTGGGAGAGTCCCTCATCCTCACCTGGCTGGGGGACCAGCAGGCAGTTTTCCCCAGTCACACCGGCAGGGCGTCAGTCAACGTCCTCACTGGAGCTCTCACTCTGACCTCTGTCAAGGTGGCTGATTCAGGAGTCTACGTAGTGCAGAGCACTAACCCACAGCTTAAGGCCAATGTTTCCATCACTGTTCTGGGTAAGACTAAACAAATGGATAATATTCAAGGTTGGGAGTGACTGATGTCAGTGGTTCATCCTTTAGAAACTCTAAAACAGCTCCTAAACATTATTAGAAACCAGCAGATAGTAAACTTTCGAAATATAATTGAAGGTGAGCAGCAACAAGAACTGAAATATGGAGTTATTTGAGTCATATTTTGGAAAAGTAAAACGGTAATTAACTTTAAAAAAGCAATATCCCGCCACATTTATGTTATAATTTTTTATTATTAGCAGCATTTGTTTCAGATTTGCAGACTGAGTATCTTGTTCAAGGACACTTCAGCTGGTGAATGCTTGAGACTTGAGCCCTTAGTCATTCTTTATTGCCTGCATCATATTTATCCTTATTACCAACTTTCATTTGGCGTAATGATTCAAAGAAGGCTTTGGATAGACTGTGTGCTTTGTTGAGTAAATATACTGTATGTGATGAAAAACATTGTGTAGTTTCCATAGTAATCCATATAAACCTAATCCCTAAAAAAAGATTTGTTCTTTAAAGATTGTCATGCTTGTGTAATGCAAGAGTAATATATTTTTTTCATTCTGTTGCTAATTGTTATTCTAAATCTAAGAATGTATTATTATTATTATTATTTATTAAACCTGAATAACTCAAGGAAACAAATAAAGAATATGTACAATAATGTACAGTTAACAAGAAAATCAGTTATAAAGGCACACAGAAAATGTGTGCAATCAATTTTGTAGGCAGGACAAGCATAAATATAATGAGCAAAAGATGTATTTACAACAAACAAACATATGGAGCCATAAAATAAACTGAGTACAGTCTTTATAATTAATTAATTGCAATGAATAAATACAGCTAGACACATAGAGGTGTGGAGGCAGACAAAAATGTGCTGATTAATTGTTTATACTGGAACAGTCTCCTGTTGTAATGAAAAATGAGGATCCCTAAACAATTATCAGAAAGGCCTGGAACGCATTCTCATGATATTTGGAGTGACAACTTGAATACTGCTCGCTACCAGCCTGTGTGTGTTTTGGTTTTGCTGCCCTTTTGCTCACATGTCTTCTTGTCTGTATCTGTCAACCCTCATCTTTCTATCTGTTAAAAGTTATGTTACGTCTTTCTAATAAAGAAGTCTTTCTAGATGATGAATAAATATATTATCCACTTATTAACATTTACAATACCAGAATTTAAGGAATATTTTCATTTTCATTTATGAAGTCTATATTATCGAGGTTTATTTGACACTGTCATAGAAGTTTTAATGAATTATGTACAGTATTTTAGGTAATTCATAGGTGGTGCTGAACTGGACTACACTGCATACAGAGGTGTTTCTAATACCATGAACCCCGAATGTATGTAAATGGAGGGACACAAATTGAAAAAAAACTCTCAGTACAATATAATATGTAATATTATGTATGTGTGTATATGTAATTGCTTTGTAACGATAATACTACATGGCTGTTGTATTCAACTGATTGTACAATTGCACCTAATAAAGTGGACACTGAGTGCAGGCTTATGAAACATTAACATATAATATTTCTTGTATGGATGCTGTTCCTCTATTGCTTGTTGACTACATAGTCTAACAGTGTACAGTGTGTTGACAGTTTGATAAACATCTTCATTTGTCTTGCACAGAGCCCGTTTCAAATGTGACACTAAGGACGACTCAAACCAACCTGTTGGAGTTCAACAGTTCAGCAGTCATTACGTGCTCCGTCTCCTCTGGATCCTCTGTCTCTTTCCTCTGGCTGAACGACAGCTCTGAGGTTACAGCCAGGGACAGAGTTCAGCTCACTAATGGAAACTCCACTCTCACTATAGTTAATATAACCCGCTATGACCAGGGACCATTCAGGTGTCATGTGTTCAATCCTGTCAGTAACGGCACCAGTGATTCAGTAAACTTTACCATCAGCTGTGAGTAGAGCAGTGTTGTTTTAATTATAATCTGCTATAATTACCCCATGTCTAATCCTCCAGTTCCACTAACAGCTCCAAAATGCGGTATGTCTCTCCTCCTCCTGCCTGTTTTTCTTTCTGTCTCTTTCTCAGATGGTCCAGATAACATGGCCATAACAGTGAATGGACAGAATACAACTTCCTTTACAATTGGATCCAACCTGACCATGCTCTGTTCAGCACAGTCCAATCCTCCAGCTCAGCTTCAGTGGGCTTACAGAGGAGAGCTTGTGAACACTACAGGTCCATTGTTGAAGCTGTTCAGTGTCAGCGAGCACCAAAGTGGTCCATATTCTTGTCTGGCCTTCAACAATCGCACCGACCTGAACAACACTATCACCACACACATCATGATAGCAAGTGAGTTTGAGTTTAAGAGCCCATTTTTCTCCACCTGTTGCCAACTTCATTCTAACTTTGCTTTGTCTCTCCAGAGTCAGGATCTGAACAACAGGCAGTCAGTGTGTGGCTCCTGCCTCTACTCTTATTGTTTGGATTCCTCTTCTAATTGCCAGGCAAGTTGTAGAATAGCCATTTTTAAATAAATCCAATATAATATTGATTCTGATTTATGGATTTACATATAATTTTGCATAGTCTGTAATATTTTTCTCTCAGAAAAGAAAAAAATATAGAATGTTCCCTTTGAAATGGTGTCATTTATACAAGAATTCAGATAAGTCTTGAACATGGTATAATGAGTTAAATATATGAGCAGCAGGGAGCATAAATGATGTAACAGGCTGCAACTAATGATCATTTGCATTATTGATTACTAGGATTACTATTAAAAAACTATATATTATAAAGACATTCATACAGTAATACTAACTTTGAATAACTGCTTCTCTTTCACAGATGTTGGTGGCTCATCCAGTCCACAGACTCCGATTCAATGAAATAAATAGGATACAGTGAACCTTTAAGCTATGTTCAAAACAGCTTTCAAAACCATTTCTGTGTCTTTAAATGGTTTTTGATTCAGCAATTCCATTTTGAAAAAATAAATATTATTACAAGTAAACGTGATTTGAACATTACTGTTGTTTGTCCTTGACCTGATATACTTTAATATGTTCATTAATCAAACAATGATTGCTGGCTGATCAGAAGTACACAACCACACCCACATACCTCAAACACTCAAACATCAGGTACAGATAGATTAACTGCCAAAACATTTTTATGTAAAATTCCACTACATAAGCTCTTAAGTGTACCATTAGGTCTTTGTTGGTCATTCATGTACTGTATGATATCTGCTTAAATTGCACATTACATGTTTGAAACAAAAAATCCCCTTTATGTTGCAATGGCTGATGTTTATGTAGCCTTAAACAATGAGGAAATCTTCCTTTTTTTAGTGGCAGAGCTCCAAAGAAGCATATCAAAATCACTCATTAATGAGCACTGACAGTGGGAAAACCTGAAGAGACACCATTGGTATATTCTTTACTGGTATTTGGTTTGTTCATAACCAAACAGGATAAATATAAAAGATAAATATTGAAGGGGACAAACAGTCTATTGTCACTTTAATCCTGCTAATATTGTTATTAGGAATGCAGCTTGTAACCACATAACTCAAATGACAAGACATTTGTTGGTACAGAGGTGGACTGACGAGTGATATAATATAAAATAATATATAAAAGGAGTTTAATTCTAGTGTTCTGAGTTAAATTTCAATTTACTTTACTAGTTATGTTAGCAGTCTTTTCCCAATTTCCCAATGGTTATTCCACCTGCATTGTGGGAAAAAGACAGAGTACTCGCTTTTGTTAGACTTTCAAGTCATGAAGTGGACTTACAAAATATCCTCCTCTCCAATGGTTGGCCAAAAGCTGTAGGACGACTGAGCTTTACAGTAAATGGACACTCCTTGGAGCATACCAGTAAATTCCCTGGTAGACCAGGGCATAACAAGGTGTGGTCATGGCTGTGAGGTGGCACGGTGATGGTAGAAGATAGGGTTAAGCATTTACATAATGAGAAGAGAACGCTGGACTGATGTAGTGCAAATATTTGCTGATCAGAAAGCCGCTGTGAACATATATTAGCACAAGATTGAATTTATCACAGACAGAGTCAAGTCCATTTAGCTGACAAGAGCATTTCCAAGCAAAAAGAAACTCAAGAAGTAGAATGGAGTGTCCAGTGGTGTTTTTACTAATCCTGGCCACGATAACCTCTGAAACAAGTAAGGCTGAATTATTTTTAACTTGAATTAATTTTACACGTTTTGTTATATTGTTAAGTTTATATGTGCTACTTTAATACATTCCACTGCTTTACCAGTTTAAGTACTTTGACCAATATTTCTGCAATATTTGTGTGGATGGACTACATTTAAGGGTGACTATTGAATATTGTCTGTCCCTTGCTTTCTTTTTATAGCTACTGCTTTTAGCCAAAATATATATGCCTCCGAGAACCCCTTGCCAGTGGGCAGCAATGTGACACTTTTTAGCCGGAGCAGTGTCCCTGCAGGAGCATGGATGTTCAACAGCAATATCATTGTGATGATATTCCCAGGAGATAAAATCATAGCTGACACTTGGAGGGACAGGGTTATATTCAATTCAACCACTTCATCATTGACCATAAGGTCACTACAAGTGGAAGACTCTGGATTGTACACATTACAGGCATTGAATTTATTTCGTTCTGAGTTAACACTGTCAGTCCAAGGTAAGGAGCATTTTATCTCTTTTCATGTTTACTTACTCTCTCATGTACTTGCTCACATTCTTCAAATGTATATTGAACAAAGCCCAATCTACATACTCTGACACTCATTCCACCTCTCCTGTCTTGTATTCTAAAAATACAATGAGCATATAGTATTTTCATGTTCGCGTGTCTACTACTATGTTTGTCAAGTGTTCATTTGAAAGAGAAAAGAATAGAGCTAGTCTGTAGCTATTACGGTCACCTTGAGGCAGAGTGAGTCAGCTTTGCCAGAGTTGTAAATTGGTCTCAGGTCTTAGTTTGAATCTTCAAATTAAATAAATAAGACATTTTGACTTAAAGTTTTATTTTTTCAGTATGATAAAAAAATATGTATTTCTGATTTCTGCTCTAGAGATTTTGGATAAGATATCAGTTCAAGCCATATGAGTCACATTTCCACTTCTGCCTTTTATTTGTAGAGGAAACAACATTGCTTGTCCATTGAAATCACACATTTCCACAAAACTTTGACAAACGGCTTGTTATTTCCTTTCTCCACAGTGCCTATTTCAAATGTTACTCTGAGGGCAAACGCAACCAACCTGGTGGAGTTCAATGATACAGCAGTTCTCATGTGCACTGTGTCCAACGGGTCTTCCCTGTCTTATGTTTGGCTGAAGGGCAACTCTGTGGTCACAGCCGGTGGGGGAGTACAGTTAAGCGATGGAGGGGCCACTCTCATTATAGTCAGAGTGACTCGCTATGACGAGGGGCCTTTCAGGTGCAATGTATCGAATGGCATCAGCCAAGAAATCAGTCTCCCTGTACATCTGAACATCAGCTGTGAGTTTTCACTAACAACAATTCTTAGGTCTATTGTATGTATTAACAACAACCCCTAAAACACTCTGTTGTTTCATCAGATGGCCCGAGTAACACAACAATGATGATCATGCCCATGAAGTACATCTACAGAACAGGATCTAATATCCTGCTGTCATGCTCAGCGGAGTCCAGCCCTGCGGCGATGATCCGGTGGATGGTTAATGGGGTGTACCTAAATGATTTTTCCCCACAGCTTCAACTAGAAATGGTTACAGAGAGCCGCTCAGGAAATTACCAATGCTTATTTTACAACACAGCCACGTCCAGGTTCACCAGCGCAAGTGCAATGATCAGGATTTTGGGTAAGGCTGGATTGTATGATATAGTATTTTATGTTTAGATTATTGATATTTGGGGGAATATGCTTATTTACTTTCTTGTCAAGACTTAAATTAGAGGGTCAATACCACTTTCATATCTGTCAGCAGCCGGTTAGCTTAGCTTAGCATTAAGACTGGAAGGAGCTAGCCTGACTCTGTCTGAAGATAACAAAATGCGCCTACGGCTAACTAATTAACATGTAACATATCATTTGCTTCATCTATACAAATAACCAAAGAGCGGAAACAATGTGTTGCCCTTTTTCCATTGTTTAAGCTATGCCAAACTAAGCTAACCAGCTGCTGGCTATAGCTATATTTAATGGACATATATGTGAATAGGATCAGTCTTCTCATCTAACCTTCAAGAAATTATATAAGCATATTTCCCAAAATATCAAGATAGTCCTTTACAGAATATAGCATAATTCACTCAACCCCATACATGTGTGAATTTAAATTCCCTTCTTCTTCTATAGCGCCAATAGCAGCAGTTGTGGTAAATCATACAGGTGGACGAGCACTACTTAATGAGCCGTTCACTATGTATTGTGAAGTGAATGGATCTGTTGACAATATTCAGTGGTGGAAGAACGGTCAACTTATTTCCGCTGACAACACAACAGTATTTGACACAGGCAACACGACACTGACTCTCAACCCAGTCCAACATTCAGATAATGGAAATTATCAGTGTCAGGCTTTTAATTATGTGAGCAACATGACCAGCAGCCCCTACACAGTTAAAGTAAACTGTAAGTATTTTACCTCTTTATCTCTCTTTTCTTTGCATATTGATATATTGTGCACATTAAGTACTGTACACACACAACGAGCAGAAATACTGAAAAATTTAACCTTTCTACTTAATGTCTGATATTAAAAGATGGCCCAATGAAACCAGTGATCATAGGGCCGTCCATGGCTCTGACAGGAACATGGGTGATCCTCAACTGCTCAAGCGCCTCTTATCCTCCTAGCCTCATCAACTGGTACTTCAACAATTCCCTGGTGGCTACAACCTCAAAGTTAGAGATTGGACCTCTGACCTTAAATATGAGTGGGAAGTACTCCTGCATGGCATTCAACAACATCACTGGCAAAAACAGCTCTGCTTCTGTGATGCTGACTGTATTAGGTAAGATTTTGGTAGATATGCTCATTGGCTTTCTTGCTAAGAGTTGCGTGATTGATACCACTCTCACATGTGTCTGTTAAATATGAAGCTCAAGCCAGGAGACAGTGAGCATCAGTCAAAGAGCAAAATCTGCCTATCAGCACCTCTAAAATCTTACCATGAGTGAACATGTTTACACTACACGGACTGCATGGATTAAACAAGATAGAAGAGGTCAGCTAGCCTTAGTGGTGCGGGTAGGCAGATTTTCTTACCGTTGGACAGGGCCAGGCTAGTTGTTGTCCTTATTTTCAGTCTTTATTGCTAAGCTAAGATAAACAATCTGTGCATGCAGATATAAGACTGGTATCAATTTTCTCACCTAAGACAAGAAAATAATATTTTACAAAATGTCAAAATATTCCTTAAATCCTCATTTCGTCTACCACAAAACAAAAAATCACAAAGCCAATCATATGTTGGAGTAGGTCTACGTACTTTGTTCTCTATATTTCCACAGCTCCAGTGACCATGGTGTCAATAAAAATTGTTGGACCTCTGCCAATCCAGAACCACACTTTCACTCTAACCTGTGAGACAACTGGAAGTGTGGAGTCAATTATCTGGATGTATAATTGGTACCAACTGTATCCTGACAACACAAGAAATTTCTCAAAGGACAACACCATCCTCACCTTTGATCCTGTCGTAGCCTCTGACAATGGGAACTATCAATGTGTAGCTTCAAATCCACTCAGCAGCTCAAACAGTGAAATCTTTAAACTGGAGGTTATTTGTGAGTATTCTGCCCTAAACCACATCCAATTTTGAGGGGGGAGGGATGTCAAAAAAGGGATTCAACTAAAACCAAAGAAGAATTGCACCTTCAAACACTTTAATACTGCAGTTAAAAGAAAGCATTTCTAAAATAAAAATTAACAAAATCGTTACCTAAGGAGCAACTAGATGAGACATTAGCAAATGTGGCCACATCTAGTAGATTCATCACAAAATACTGACTGCAATGAACTAAACATCAGATTGTTTGCGTTAGGTTATCCGATGGTGGACTCCATTCATGCACAGTTCTGCTTTGTATGAGTCATGTCAACATGTTTTCAATGAAGATGATTTAAGGGAATATCCATATCCTTAGATGGACCAGAGAAGCCAACTATCATGGGACCAAACATGGCAATGACAGAAGACAACATCACACTCAGCTGCTACGCTTCATCAAACCCTGTCAGCATCTACAAATGGTTCTTCAATGATTCTGTAGTGGCCAATACGTCTGAGTATGTCACACCTCCCCTTACCAGAGATATGAGTGGGATGTATACCTGCATGGCCTACAACAACATCACTGGCAAAAACAGCACTGCGTACACGATGCTGACTGTTTTAGGTAACTTAATGTACAAGAATAGGTAGACATTTTCAAAAATATGTTCATTTCTTTCTTGCCTAGAGTTACACGATCAATACCACTCTCATATTTGTCTATTAAATATGAAACTACAGCCAGTAGACAGTGAGCTTAAGTTTAGACTAGAAGTAAGGGGAAACAGCTAGCCTGGCTCTATCCAAAGGTTGCAAAATTCACCTACCAGCACCTCTAGAAACATCAACATGCCATTTTTACACTTTGACATGCATGAATTAAACAAGAGAGAAGAGGTCAGTGAGCCCAAGTGGGGCTAGTAGGCACATTTTCTTAACTTTGGACAGATCCAGGCTTGAGGTGTTCCCCTTTTTTCAGTCTTTGTGGTAAGCTAAGCTAAACAACCCTGGCTCAAGCTTCTTACTTAATGGGCATGCAAACGTGTATATTTTCTAACCTAAAAATGTCAAATTATTCCTTCAATGTTGATTTAGTCTAATGCAAAACCAGATCACCAAACCAGACAGCCAATCATAGATATTTTTGAGTAAGTCTACTTACTTTAATTTCCACCATTCTTTTATTCTCTATATTTCCACAGCTCCAGTGACCATGGCAGCTATAAAAATTATCGGACCTCTGCCAATCCAGAACCACACTTTCACTCTAACCTGTGAGACAACAGGAAGTGTGGAGTCAATTATCTGGATGTATAATTGGAACCAACTGTATCCTGACAACACAAGAAATTTCTCAATGAACAACACCATCCTCACCTTTGATCCTGTCATGGCCTCTGACAATGGGAACTATCAATGTGTAGCTTCAAATCCACTCAGCAGCTCCACTAGTGAAATCTTTACACTGGAGGTTTTTTGTGAGTATTCTGCCCTAAATCACATCCGTTGTTGAGGGAAGGAATTTTTCAATATGTCAAAAAGGCATTCAACTAAAGCCCAAGAAGAAATGCAACTCAAAACAATTTAATATTACAGTTAAAAGAAAGTATTTTAGAAAAATGTAGGAAATCATTAACTAAGGAATAATTACATGAGACATTAGGAAATGTGGCCACATCTAATAGATTCATCACAAAATACTGACTGCAATGAACTAAACATCAGATTGTCTGCGTCAGGTTATCCAATGATGGATTCCAGTCATGCACAGTTCTGCTTTGTGTGATTCATGTCAACATGTTTTCAATGAAGGTGATTTAAGGTAATATCCATATGCTTAGATGGACCAGAGAAGCCAACTATCATGGGACCAAACATGGCAAAGACAGGAGACAATGTCACACTGAGCTGCTACGCTTCATCCAACCCTGTCAGCATCTACAAATGGTTCTTCAATGATTCTGTAGTGGCCAATACGTCTGAGTATGTCACACCTCCCCTTACCAGAGATATGAGTGGGATGTATACCTGCATGGCCTACAACAACATCACTGGCAAAAACAGCACTGCGTACACGATGCTGACTGTTTTAGGTAACTTAATGTACAAGAATACTGAGACATTTCCATAGATATGCTTATTTCTTCATGCCGGGAATTACATGATCAATACCTCTCTCATATCTGTCTATTAAATAGGAAACTACAGCCAGCAGACAGTTAGCTTTAATTTAGACTGGAAGTAAGGGGAAACAGCTAGCCTGGCTCCTTCCACCATTCTTTTATTCTCTATATTTCCACAGCTCCAGTGACCATGGCGTCAATAAAAATTGTCGGACCTCCGCCAATCCAGAACCACACTTTCACTCTAACCTGTGAGACAACTGGAAGTGTTGACTCAATTATGTGGACATATTATTGGTCCCCACTGTATCCTGACAACACAAGAAATTTCTCAATGGACAACACCATCCTCACCTTTGATCC